ATCGCCTTAGTAAAATTCATCAAAATGTAAGTAAGCAGGGTGAGTCTCAATTTTACTATCTCTAAAAGTCATTATAAAGGTAACTACCGAGGTTTGGAGCGGGTCCCCGCCCGCTTATTTATTAATGAGAAGTAAGCCAGGGCTCGCTGGAGACATCATCCAAGATTTACGGCAGAATTAAGCTCATAAATAAAGATTGTTACGGAATGATATTGATATAGTGGGGAGCTGTTAACGAGCAGAACAATCGATAGCGGTTTACGATCGCCGATAATGAAGGTGACGTGGCTATTTCTTCTTGCTACCAGAAATGTTTCAAGAGTTCAAGTTTGATGCGCACTTCACGAGAAATGAAGCTATGTGTTGGCAGTTAACGCATTTGCAAAAACTTTATAGAAGGAATTAAGGAAAAAAGATCACTGAATTTTCTTTCAGAATTTTTAAAACATTCCAAAATTTTCAAAAATTTCATCCACGTAGTTAAAATAAACACAAACTGCATACTTTTCTTAGAAAAAAATCATAAAACCACTAGCTCCCAAGAGCATACTCGTAAGTACCTATAACTTTTTGTAAATGGTGCTTCAGCCATTTTTACAAAATATTTTTTAAAACAGCCTAAAATATTTACCGTTCCACGTTGGAGTTTAAAAAAACAATTAAAATACTTCATGTAACTTGCAACGAGCCGTTTTTGTAGCGCGCCTCTTTAATGTGGTCACATTCACGCTCGCCAAATTTATTATCTCCATTGCGCAAAAACTGCTACAATATGTAACAAAACTGCCTTCGTGCGGCTTAAAATTATAATGCCACAGCCAGGTTCCAATGTGCCACGTCGATCCGAACTTCGGCGCTGCGAATTTTTATGAGTGTCGCCGCACCACGACACACTGGGGACCCGACGGTTTTGGAACGACTGGTAGTCAAAGAGAAATGGAGATTTCCCAGTTACAAATGTGGAAATTGTAGGTTGAGGCGGTATTTCTTCGCGGATTACTTTCTCGAAAGCACAGTAACGCGCGTACCGGAATTTTTATTACTCGCGGTTCCCAAAGGTACAGTTTCGCGACAGAGATACATTCGGATCATTATGTTTTGTAGCTCCCGCACTGAGAAATATGACTTAAAATAAAGGGAGCCGGAACGACTCCGTCGAGATTGGCATCCAAGACATTAAGTTTTGTCGCGTTATTCTTATAGACTTCTGATACACGTGTAATACATAATCTACTTTATAGTTATGTTACACTTAGGTACGTGTACCTTAGCCTTAAAGCTATTTATAACAAAACGGCAACCAAAACCGTAATATATTTGACTGATATTATTTTGATAGTAGCCTGACTCTACATTTGAAACAGAAAATACGCTTATTGACTACCCAATAAAAACAGAATCCAATATGGAAGAATAGGTAACGACTGAAACATAATGAACTGAAAATAATGAATGATTTGATTGGGACTTCAAAAGACCTTTAAAGGACCTTCAAAAGCCGTCCAGTTAGTTTCCATGAAGGAGTAACCTTCACAAACTTTCACGATAATAATAATAGTTAACAAACAATAATTGGATGGATACTCCAAGTATTTACATACCTTTCCACAACTGTAGCACAATTATGTGGGTAGGTACGTGACTGTCTAGTGGTACATGGGCTTTTGTTAATTGTGTTAGTCCAAAAGGACTACCTTTTAGACTGACAAATTTTAGTTGAGCTACTGGACGTGGAGAAAATAATGTTTGCTATCGATCATTGAGCTCGACACTGTTAAATGGGCCAATCAACATGTTCTAATACTGTGACCACTTTTTCGTTTATTCCGGGACTTTCCGGATTGTATCATCATCCACATTGTCAATCTGTTTTGTCACGCACCATTAACAAACTTTAGAAAAAACAGTGTTTACCATATAGATTGCATCGCTGTGACCGGTGCAGTGTCACGTTGCATTATTTATACATATTTTATCATATTCTTTATAACTAAGCTTTCTGATAGTGAATAAAGTTTAGTACCTATGCTGGGGTAGGAAAGTTCTTGAGTGGCGACCACGAGCCGGAAGACGTAGCGTGGGCAGGCCTCCCACTAGGTGAACTGACGATCTGGTGAAGGTCGCGGGAGGTGCCTGGATGCGAGCGGCGCAGGATCGGTCTTCATGGAAATCCTTGGGGGAGGCCTTTGTCCAGCAGTGGACGTCTTTCGGCTGAAACGAACGAACGAACGAACCTATGTTGAATTATAATAATGAACATGCTTCTTTGCGATAAATTCGATAAAAAGTAGTGTTAAAAATCACATTATCCTATCCGCCATGCTATTTTGATGTATAGGTAGGTATACAACAGTTTACTTAATATATTCCTCCAGCAATTTTATTCGTGAATGAACAACAAACATCCATCCATTTTTACGACTTCCGCGTTAATTATTGCAAACAAAAATAAATACCGAGTAGGCGCTTAGATAAACACGGGCCCAGCCGTTTCATTACGGCTGATGAAAACTTAACATCATCATATTTTCTGGATCGTTCACCTAAATTAAAGGTAATTTATATCCCACCGTACAGGCGGTGCTCGTTCGAGCTTTATTAAACAAATAAAGTAATGAATTGGTGGGCTTTCATAAACAAGCGTGCGGAAATTTGAAACTTTATTATTTACGAACACTAAGTAACAATGCTAAAATTAAGGCAAGGGTTTCGTAAACGATGGTTTCGTTAAGGGGCTGATATGAGCTAACCAGCGCCTCCAATGTATGTTATATTAATTGGAAATTTCAAAAATCTGCGAAATTTTATATGTAGGGATCTTTTTAACATGCAGTTTACTATTATTTTTATCGCCATACTTCATTTGCTATTTTATTGTTTTGTAATTATATTCTGACATAATTGATTAAGGTCTATTTAAAAAAAAAAGATCTTAAATGTTAGGTATTTCAATAATTTTGTTTGACTGTACTAAAGTGACTATAATATTTAGAATGAGTTGGTGTACCTAACACTCACAAACTCGGAGAACAACATTTTAGTTATTTATTTTAGTCGGCCGTTTGGTGTAGTGGTTCGGAAACGGACTACTATGCCGAGATGCCCCGGGTTCGATTCCCGGCCGTGCAGAAATTGAAATTATGAATTTTAATTTCTGTGACGGGTCTGGGTGTCTATGTATAATATGTATGTATTTACAAAAAAAAAGTATATAAGTATGTTTACATCCGTTGTCTAGTACCCATAGTACAAGCTTTGCTTAGTTTGGGACTAGAAGCATAGTGTAAAATGTCCAAGGATATTTATTTATTTATTTATTTATTTATTTATTTATTTATTTATTTAGTCTGTCTAGTGATAAGTACATTTAGCCTAAATCTCACTGTTAGCTCAAGTAAGTCTCTTAACAATCGCTAGCAGGCAATGTTCGAAGTGATCTTAGCCGAATTGAAACACGTGCACAACTTGGATACTATACTTTTACGACCACTATTTTTCTGCGTAGTTTCGTTTCGCTAAATGCCTTTACGTAGTCTGTGATATTACTTCGACGACAACGACCGGGCGAATTAGTTCAAGACTTTTTGAAACAATAGGCTCGTACCTTATTTGATACTTGTTGTTCGTTTCTTATCCTCGAAGTAAGTTATTTCTTTTATACGGTCATTAATTTGTAGGAATGAATAGTCCAGTGGTTCGTGTATTAGTGTGGATTTGACTCCCGTATGGGACAAATGTGGCTACTAGCCTTACTATAACGGTAACTATGACGATAACCAGTGCTTTTTATATGGATTTTGAGAGAATTTTGACGTTTGTCAAAGCTAAAGTAAGATGGTGCAACCCAGCCTTAGTATAGGTAACAAGAATTTGTACACGAAAGCTATTCTATTTTATTGCCATATCTTAATCCATCTAGCATCCAGAAAAGTATCGAAAGTTTAAAGTCTATTATGTCTACAGGGTCCTTCTAAACTAGCTACATTCCTTTTAATGGGGGCATCTATACGGTACACTGAACAAGTTCACCAAATTTGAGTATGTGTTTTATAATGATTTTACAAAGTTACATTTTCTAACAAAAATAAAAATTCATTTCGTCTTACATAATGGAACATGCTGTATTTTTTACTCACACAACAAAGCTGTAGTGTATTCATTCTGCACAGGAACACGAGACACAACACACACAACGCTCACTACCACTGCACACTTTTTTGTTGTTTACACTCACGTCATAACAACTCACAGCAGTCGTCACAGCTGATAGCCGATTAGCTGATCGACTGATTGGGCGAGCTATCACTTTAATGTTGCAGGCCTACTCTCATATCGTTGTCTATCCTTATTATCTTATGTTAATCACAGTAAAACGGACTCACGATACCATCNTTTTATAGACTTCCCCTTTCATAGGGATTTGAAAAAAAATAAGTGGTCCCTGACAAGACAGAAATTTGGTAAAATGTCCCCTCGTAAATTAAAGGTTAAGAACCACTGCTTTAGACCATTGGTTCTCAAAGAGGCGGGCGCGCCTCCCAGAGGAGGCGCAAAGACCTTTAAAGGGGACGCGGGCCATCTGTACTTAAGTATAAAAATCCTGCGACCGCTGAGAGAATGCGTTCCAGACTGCTCGATACGACCAATAAATTATAATCTTTAGCTACCCATCCTTATCGCTCGCGCGTAATTATGTTGCTGTCGCGCTCGCACACTCACTGCGGGCGCCCGTCGCACAGTCGCGACAGCAATATAATTACGCGCGAGCGATAAGGATGGGTAGCTTGGGGTCATTGGACAAAATTCTACGTGCTAACTTACAAATTCTAACTTCTGATACATCTTTCGGTTGATCTGGGGTGGTCCTCCTCTCTCCTAATTGCGGTGCCCATAATGTTCTAATTTTAAGTAGGTACATAATGGATGCAATAAAATATTGAGTATTGAGTATTGCTCACAGACCGGGCTTTAACTAGACATCGAAGGCTCCTGCTACTGACCTGCTCACACGTGACGCTTTTCTTCTTCGTACTTTCAGCATCGTTTTCGTCAAGTCTTGCTCGCTTGCCGGGCTTGAACGGCTCCTCGGCCGGGTGCCCGTGGCAAGGAGACACGGATACATGCTTCCGAAGCGCTTCGGTGGTTAAGAAGCGCATGTCGCACGTTGCACAGTACGGGCTGTCTTCTGGCAACTGTCAATAAAATAATTTTAGCTAAGGTAAATAAAAACAAAAATTGTCGACAATTACAGCAAGAAATTACCAAGTGTTATACCATTTTGGAATCCTTACTAAATGCGCCAAATTGACGTCACTTGCCACACTCGCGTAGTACAATTTTTTTTCAGTACAGTCAGTTTTCACTAGGCAAAATTTTTATTTTGAAATTTTTTTTGGGAATAATGTATTTTTTTCATCCAAGCTGGAGCAGCTGGTTTTGTAAATTTGATAACAATTTAGAGAAGCATTATTCAGGGTTACGTAACAAAAGAAAATTTGGAAAAAGTGAAGATTTGTGGCAACACGAGTAAAAAGACCGTCACCGGGAGTAGAATTTTTTGATTTTTTTTAAATGCCTATTATTTTGACAAAATGCCACATCTTAGTTTTTTTTTCATATTTACTGATAACCAGCATAACTTGCCACAACACCGAGTTCCGGCTTGACGTTGAATTACGGGACACCCTGTATAACTCAAAGGTGACTGACTGACTGACATAGTGATCTATCAACGCACAGCCCAAACCACTGGACGGATCGTGCTGAAATTTGGCATGCAGGTAGATGTTATGACGTAGGCACCCGCTAAGAAAGAATTTTACGAAACTCTACCCCTAAGGGAGTAAAACGGGATCCACGCGTACAAAGTCGCGGGCGGCCGCTAGTATAACTTACCGTAGTGAGGTAGCTGACGTGTGTGTATTTAGTTCTGGTCGCCATCGATCTGATGTTCTTCGTTTTTGACTTCCTTTTTTTCATTTTGATCTGTAATAAACAATAAATTAAGTAAGTAAAATCCATGATCCTGAAAGGGCTCTTAAGATTTTTTTATGTTACCAAAAATAAATAAACTTTAATTTTCTGCTTAATTTAATTCCTTAAATAACTAGTAGTAGCCCTAGAATAGCTTGTGTGGCGTCCGGTCCGTCGTCAGGCGGCACTCTTGTGTTCGCGGCCAGTGGCCCAACGGCAGCACAAGCGCAATGGCGGCCATTACGTAAGCTCGTGTGCGTGCGGATTTTTGTCAGTGTAGTAGTGAATCAGCTGAACAGGGTGTTGTATTGGGTTGATAAGAAATGAAGTTGTTTCCTTAATTATCTCGGAAACTAGCCTGAATTTTTGGCTCAAACTTTGGGAACGTATTCAGTGTGACGTATACATGCTCCCATTAAACGGAACGTAGCTGATTTAGAAGGACCCTATATACAAACATAAAGTTGCTTTCTTTTTGTTTTGAGAAGCTATATTGTTGCCTGGTTTCAACAAGTTAATTTGCCTACCTCTACCGGGTTGATAAGGAAAACAATCATTTTTATAGAACTTTTATCCTTATTACAACTTTGTAACTCAATAATGACAAAAATAGGACCGTGAGTAATGTACCAAAAAGACGAAATCATTTAAATATGACACCATTTCGCTTACTTACAACCCACACGATGAAAAAGAAAGAAGTAGGTAACAAATAAATTGATCCAACAAAAGTCTTCATAATTTCCAGTTTCTTAATTTAATAACAATCCTAAGAACAAAATGACCACCATTGTTGATTCCGGCAGAGACAGATAAAGCTTCTGCATTACATTGTGCTGAAAGAATCCTTTTCAGTTCAGTCCACAAAGCGCTTACGGACAGAAAGATTAAGAACACAATCCCATTGAAACAAGGTAAATCTGAAATTTAACTGGGGCTGCTAATTTCACTATCGCGTTATTGTTTCCGAGCGAGTTGATTTACAGCTCAAGTTTAAAGCAATTTGTCTACTCAAAGATGTTTTATTAAATTAAGTTCGTTTCAGGTTAGTACAGAGGAAATATTATACAGGGTGTCCCAAAATAGCCGGGTTGGATGCGCGCCGTGATAACTATACTCTTGATGACGATAATTTTAGACGTCAAAATGTGTGTGCGTATAATCGATAAAATGGCGCGATAACCGCTTATCGCGCATCCTAGGCCTACAGAGGTAGATGAGCTTAAGATGCTTTGACAAAGTCTATTAAGTCCGTTTTTAAAGATAATTAATATCAGTCACATTATTTCAAAACTCATCAAACTGTTCCATGGACATTTATAACTAAAATTATAGACACATTAAGCTTGTTCGATGCATCTTAGGCACAGCTCCAGTGTCAGTGTGACTCAATTTCACTTTTGGGACATCCTGTATTTAATAAAAAAAAATCAGACTATACAGTTCTGTTGCAAAATCGAACTTATTGCAACCACATAAGGTGCTCTATGCTTACCTTGATGTGCCGTCCGTTGATACTGCGGTGTTCGGTGTGTAAAGTAGGTAAATTTTTGTAGGATTTGGGCTAGCCTCGATCGTTGGTATACCTAATGGAATTTTGCTGTCGGAAAAAAAAGGAGTTTCAACGTTCACTAAAACCACACTTTTTCCGATTTAGCATGTTGTTACTACATAGTAAATTATACATATTAGGAGACATGAGGTGTACTAGCCATTTTTGTTTTACATAATAATTATTATTAATAATACAAATCAGGCCCCATAACATTACCTGCTTCTGAAGCAACACCCACTTTTTTGAGACGAAATGTCAATGCTCATGCTAAATGTGTTTCCGTCCAATAAAGAAGATTACTTTGATTTATTACAACTGAAAATATTAATAGGTATTATGCAAATTCAATTTATATCAGCTTTCAATATATCCAGACCGTAATTCCGAAAATATAATGGGATTAATACACAGCGCTTATGAAAGCCCGCCGTTGTCTACAAGTTTGGCGCGCTACCAAAATATTACAATTTAGACAATCCTCATGCGCGGGGAGGCGTGAAATTAAAAATATAAATATCGTGAGATACCACAACTGGTTAATCCGAGCAGGGAGATTATTACAAAACTGTAATCATGACGCGACCTTAGCCGCGCTAACAATGCTGCCACCCCAGCGGCAGTTTAAAGGTAACAAACAGCCCATTTAAATTGGCGAATCAGTAATAGCAAGATAGCCCGACTGATAAGCAAGCTGAAGTGGCAATTGGCAGGACACATAGCATGCAGAACTGACTGCCGATAGGGCAGCAGCAACTGGGAAGCGCAACATGGGACGCCCACACCCAAAGTTGGACAGATAACCTCATAAAGGTTTCAGGGAGACGCTGAATGTGAACCGATGCCAACCGACAAATATGGAAATTATTGGCCTGACTGAAATCATTGGCATTGCTGAACATGGCCAATGGCCTATGTCTAATGTGGCTGAAATAATGATCGGCCGTAAGCTTGCTGTATCTCATTTCTTCTTCAGGCTAACTTTCAGAGATACTTTAAGAATGTTTGAAAGTGAAACTAAGGCTCAGAACAGACGGTGAAACGCAAGTGCAACGAAACTCCAACTTTCTGATGTTTCTGATTAATTAAACTGAAACTGAAAGTTTCAAACTGGTCGCGTCATGTGTGGTCTCTCAACAGACGCTATGGCAGAAACTTAGATGCAACTCAAAAGTAACTAGCATTTGCAGTTTCGTTGCAGTTGCGTTTCACCGTCTGTTCTGGGCCTAAGACTAGGGTTTCTGCTCGAGCCTTCTCGAACTCGAGAAAACTCGAGAAATTTGGCTTCACTCGAGACGAGAAAAAAATGACCGGAGCTCGAGAATTCTCGAGTTTCGATTTTGAAGCTTTAATAGTCTTGAAAGCCTGTTTTCTTAGACAAAAGTAAGTTTTTAATTATTTAATAGGTTAACGTTGCTTTTAGACTGGCCTAGTCTTCCTTTTTTAACTGATTTGATTTGCAATTAATGATCTCAATCGAAACTAAGTAATAATGTTTACCTACCTATTCATTATGTATGTTTAACTCTGACTGATTTAAAGACCGAAAATTTTGCTAACTGTCTGTTAGGTTAGGTACTCGTGCCTTCTCGTAAAGTTTATTCAAGTCGTTGTCCTAAAGAAATTTAAAAAATATTAAAGTGCTTTTTTGTTTATAAAAAAAACTATTTATCGTAATTTTGCTATTTGGACTTGTGTCCTTTGGAAAACAAGTGATTCAATTGTAGCTCCAGATTTTTATTGTTAGTTATCCTTATAGTACACGCTAGTTTATGACTTTTGTTCCTTTAGTTAATTACTAAGTTATAATTATTAGTTAATATTAATTATGAAAGAAGATTTCGTTTTTTGTTTGTTTTCTTACCAAAATAAGTGGTACTAAATTCTAATATTGATTGTTGTGCATTAAAGTAGGTATATTAGATTAAAAAACCTGTGTTTTTATTAAATTTCAACCTATTTCAACAGTTTTAATTTAAAGACTCGAGACCCGAGAAAACTCGAGACTTTCGCCTCGAGAATTCCCGAAACTCGAGAAAAAAAATAGGTCGAGAAGTCAGAAACCCTACCTAAGACATATTATTGTGACTTGCTTTCGTTCTTGCGAAGTGGGCTTACTAGTTTTACTGGGCTGTACCTCAAGCGGTATTAATGCTGAGTTACATAAACACACGAGGGGACGGTCAACAAAGCCTGTAAAAAAATTCGCAGTGCATGTGGATTCAACATCGAACCTTATAACGATGCCGTAAGATGTATTTTAGCAGATTTATTTCTAATATTATGATATAAAATCTAAAGATCATAATTTCATTAGAATGGAATGCTTAGCATCTATTATACGCTCATGCGAGCGTCACTACTAATGGATATTGTTTCTGATTGCCCCGTTAATATTTTACAAAGAATTCACTGAAGCTGATAATAAGCTTTTGATATTCATAAAAGTAGAAGAAAAGCCAATATAGTTACTGTATTTTAAACTTTTAGCAAAAAAAGGCTTTAATGAAGGTATTTTTACTCAATAATAAACTTAAATAGGTATGTGATTGGTTCAAATATCAAATTGAGCCAATTTACTGATGAAAGACCACTCTTTGAATCATTGTAAAAGTCTATATGTCATTTAATGAATAGTCAAACCAATTCATATCAGAAAGTTGGAGATTCTGAAAGGACACTTATTTAGTAGTACCTACTTTATGTACTCGTACCTATATCAATTTATGGCATATCCAGTTAACCTCTTTTTATGGTTTATCTTAATCTAGATTCATAACCCGTGGGTAAATTACATTTAAATTGGCTATGGGCCGATCGAGGAATAAATAAAGCTTTGATCTCCCGATTAATTAACAAACAATAATGGCATCCATATTTCCCTTGATTCATATCGTAACTAATGAATGCGGATGAGAAATGCAGATTATATTTTAACTAAAAACTGTACTTATCGAGTTGAAGCGAGAAGTAGTGTTGGAAAGTAATAGATAGAATCGTTTCTAGTTTTATCGATAAACATTTCCTATCAATAGGCAATTAGGCATACTTAGTAACGATAACATTGAAATCATCAATATCTGTAGGCCTAGAATGCGCGCCGCGATAAGCGGTTATCATGCCATTTTATCGATTTTTCCAATACATTTTGACGTCGATAAAGTATATCACGGCACGCATCCTAGCCCTTTTGGTAACGTTATACAGTCCTCTCAACTTAAGCTGAGAATTGCATTTGTGTGAGTGCACACCGATAGTTTAGAGTGGCAATCGGCTTGAAGCGCGGCGCGTCCCGCGCGTGGTTTATTATAGCAAGCGGCCTGAAGCGCGGCGCGTCCGCCACGCACCGCTTCCTTGTCGCTCACATACTTCACTTCACCCCCGGTACTGGTAGCAGATAGGTACGTGTAATTTTATGTAATTGTGTTCCAAATATTAGTGAAATGGCTCCTACTGTAAGTGAATTTCCTGTACGAAATCCATTAACACCTTTGCTGCGGCAGTAACTTTCTAATACTTTCCATTCCTTCGGTACAAGGTCAGAAAACCTGGTATTAAAACTTACGTTGTGGCGGCACAAGGCTTAAAGACCTTGTAATATTTAAGATATATTAATTTTATTTTTGGCTTCATGTTAATAGATGTTGTGTTTTTTTTTCTTTGAATATTAATAATAATGCATTTATTGACATACACCTGAAGGCGTTCGTGAATAACTTGTTTAGTATAAAAATTATAGCTATATTCAAAATACAAGGCTTATGCACCCTGTGCCGCACTGAAGTAGGGAAGTCTGGTGGGTATTTTAGAGATGTGAAATACAAATATCGATAGTTTAAATTAAGTTTTAATAAAAATTAAAAAAAAGTAACAAACAAAGATGTTTTAATAATTTAGTCTAAATATTTTACAAATAAGACATACGTGCATGAATAGTAAAATAAGCTATTTTAAAGAAAACATATTTTATTATTTAATAACGTTTAGTTACAACTTCAAATGTTTGTCACGAAAAACATTACTTAAATTAGCAATAAATCGTGTAGCAAATTAAATTATAATCAATTTGCAGTTTTGTTTGTTTCTCTTGACGCCATGTCAACATGTGCGTTTCTTACGAATGCGAGGCAACACTGGCTGCACGAAGCTAGCGTGGGGTGCGGTACCAGGTGCGCAGGGTACAAGGTGCTTCGACCTGGTTTCGCATTGTGAAGACATTTTATTACTTCCGTGCGGTACCAGGTCTAAAAACCTGGTATTAAGGTAGGTACATCATTACATTCTATTTTAAGAATACATCATAGATATATATTCATCACTTTCCTACACCGGACCCAATTGAAGTTATGCCTTTCGCACGACAAGGAAGACTATAATTTTCTTAGCCGCACGGTAAGCGAGACGTACACAAGGTCTATAGACCTGGTTTCGCACTCAACGTGTTAANAGCACTGGCTTAAGTTTAGAGACACCTTTATTTCTTTAATACACTCTAGACAAGATATGGATAACATAAATAAATTACATTATCTTCACGCTTCTCTTAAAGGCAGCGCTTTGCTCATTATTGATAATTTAGATTTTAAAGCAGATAATTATGAAGCTGCTTGGAAGTTGCTATGCAATAGATACGATAATAAACGATTGTTAGTGAACAACCACGTTCAAGCATTATTTAATATTGAACGCATGCAAAAAGAATCTTTCACATCTATTCGCCATCTTATAGACGTAACTAATAAAAACTTGCGTGCCTTAGCTTCTTTGGATCAACCCACTCAGCACTGGGACACTTTGGTCATTCATATGATCTCTGAAAAGTTAGATAGTGTTACCTACAGAGTTTGGGAAGAGCATAGAAACACATTATCTGATTCTCCGTCTTTAAAGATATTTATTCAATTTCTCAGTAATAGAGCAGACTTATTGGAGACCATACAAGAAAAAGGTAACATGCATAATAATAATTCATACAAACAAAATACTTATTTTCTAACACAAAATACAAACAATAATAAAAATAGCACTTATCCTAATAATAATAAATCAAATAATAATCAAAACATAAAATCAAATCAAAATAATTATAATCAGAAGTCTTTTAAATGTTCTCTTTGCAATGAAAGTCATTATTTATTTAACTGTGAAACATTCAGGTCCCTTTCAGTTGAGGAGAGAATTAAAAAGGCCAAAGAGACAAAAGTGTGTCTTAATTGTCTGCGTCCTGGTCATTATGAAATTAAATGCACTCTAGTCCCTTGTCGGTACTGTAAAAAGAGACACAACACACTTTTGCATCTACATGAGCCAGAACCTACTCCTATAACCGCCATTCCAGTCAATGTAAATCATTTTGCTAATGATTCGAATGGTCTTACACAGTTTACTACTCCTGCGCATGTATTACTATCCACAGCGATCGTGCGGGTGTTGGACGGCAGCGGCGCCGCGCACTCCGCGCGCCTCCTGCTCGACAACGGAAGTACCGCGAACATTGTGACGCAGTCGTTGTGCGGTAAGCTGGGTCTGTCGCGCCGCGATGCGTACTCCATGGTGACAGGTATTAATAAAAATATTTCTCAGTGTACACAGTCTTGCAGCCTTACTATAATGTCAAATCATGACGACTTTAAATTTACTGTAGATTGTCTTATATTACCTGACATCACCAAATGTTTACCGTCTTCCTTCATAGACTTAGAAAGCATTCCTATTCCCAAAGGAATTCAACTTGCTGACCCCACCTTTAATATACCATCTGTCATAGACATATTAGTAGGGGCAGAAGTCTTTTGGTCCGTTCTGGGCAATAATCATATTGACTTGGGTAAAGATCAACCCAAGTTATATGAAACGAAACTGGGTTGGTTAGTGTCTGGGCGTGTGGCCCGTCTTAAACACTCTTCTCCTTCGCCCGTTTGCAATTTTTTAAACGAGCAAACCAATCCAGACTTAACTCGTTTCTGGGAATTAGACACTGTAGCAGCCAAGCACTCCTTATCCCCTGAAGAGCGTGCCTGTGAGAAAAGCTTCCTCTTAAACACCAAACGCAAGGATGACGGTCGCTTCGTTGTGACTATGCCGCTGAAGGAAGACCCTTCAGTCTTGGGCGATTCGTTTCAACAGGCAAAGTGCCGTTTTCTATCCTTAGAACGTAGGTTCAGTAGAGATCCCGTATTTAAAGGCATGTACTTAGATTTTATGCTCGAATATGAGCGCTTGAATCACATGACTGAAAATAGGGAGCCTTCAGCTAGCTGTCTTCAACAGAGTCAACAATATTTTTTACCGCATCACGGTGTACTTCGCGAGGCGAGCACTACCACGAAGCTCCGAACGGTCTTCGACGCTTCAGCCGCCACTACTTCCGGTTTGTCGCTTAATAGCATCTTAATGGTTGGTCCCACTGTACAAGAAGATCTTTTTTCCATTCTTATTCGCTTTCGGCAGCATAAATATGTCGTAACTGGCGACATCGAGAAAATGTACAGGGCTATTGAACTCGATCCTTCCCAACGTCCCCTTCAACAAATAATTTTTCGCACCGATGTTAAGGAGCCCTTAAAAACCTACACTCTTAACACAGTTAGCTTTGGTACTGCATGTGCCCCTTATTTAGCCACCAAGTGTTTGGTTAGTTTAGCATCGAGTGCTCAGGACGAGGACGTGAAACAGGCTATTAAGCGAGACTTCTACGTCGACGACTATTTAGGAGGCTCATCTTCTATAGAGGACACGGTAAGAATTTGCAAAGGCGTCATAGCCACGTTAGAAAGTGCCAAATTTCATCTTAGAAAATTCAAATCAAATAGTCAAAAAATACTTGACCAAATTTCACCTTCCTCCCCTGAATTAACTGAAGTATTAAATTTATCAGATATTGATTTAAATTCAAATTCTAAAACACTTGGATTAAATTGGATTTGTAGTACAGATTTTTTGTCTTTCTCTATTGATATTAATTTAAATAGTAAAGTAACTAAACGGCACATACTTTCAGTTATTAGTCAGATATTTGACCCTTTAGGCCTTGTAGGTCCATGTGTCGTTGAAGCTAAAATTATCATGCAAAGTTTATGGATAAAACAATGCACATGGGACGAGGAAGTTTGTCATGAAATAAAAAAATCATGGTTAGCCTTTGCAAATACACTGCCCTTTCTTAATCAATTAAAAATACCTCGTTGGATACTCACAAACAACTCCGTGACGCACGAAGTTCACGTCTTTTCAGACGCTTCAGAACGAGCGTACGGAGTATGTATATACATACGTTCAATCGATAATTCAGGGTCAATCAAAGTTTATTTGCTCACTTCAAAAAGTAGAGTAGCACCCATCAAGCCCCTTAGCATTCCTCGTTTGGAGCTGTCCGCTGCTTTACTGGCCACTAGACTGTGTACAAAGGTTCAATATTAGTGAAATGGCTCCTACTGTAAGTGAATTTCCTGTACGAAATCCATTAAGCAGCCAAGTGAAAGAAATTTTATGCAAATTGAATACGTATTTTAAAGGTGTGAACGAAAAGTTTTTAGTCTGTTTTTATTTTGTAATTTTATAAAGTTTGTCTTTTTGTTGTATTTTATAAGGCTGGCTGGACGCCCTCTCTATAAACGGTGCTCGCAGAATATCAGCGTCGAGGTACTTCGTGCCTTGGCATATGCTGAGCGAGGACCTGTTTTTATTTATTTATTTATTTAAAAGGATGTGTCAAGTGTCGTTACATCGGCCCAATTGGTAGCAAGTGTTTTATAGACTTCCTTTTAATAAAACATTAATTTTATTTGTATGTGTTTTACTAACGGTACTTTTGGCGATCACTCACACAAATGCAATTCTCAGCTTAAGTTGATAGGACTGTAATACAATCAATGTCGTGAATTTTATCGCCATTTTAAGGTAGTCAAATTATGTTTTACTACCTAGCAATAATTTATACTACAAAACTTTATCAATATTTACTACTGTTTAAGGATTGATTTCTTTTTGTTTGCTTAAATTATCTGCTCTCTATCGACTGATTAGTTAAATTCTATCGATATTTGACTATAGATAGGCAACACCTGTCGCAACACTAACGAAGAGCATATTTATTGATTAAAAGTTTCCGGTCTTCTTCATTGTTCTGCTGCACAACTTTAATTAAATGGTACTGCATTAACAATTTTGCATGCATCCGAGGATGTGAATTGCTCAAATTGAATTTTAGTGCTATTATTCCGTCAAGTTACCTGCGCATTGATTAAAACTAATTTAATTAAGCTAGTTTCAGTTTTGAACGCTTTGAAGTGGAGTGATTTATGCGAATTATTGTAACTTTGTACCATCTCTCTGTGTAGTGTAACACCTTTTCTGTCTAGGTAGGCTAAAGCGATTACATACTAAACTAATAACTAAGTTCACCTTTAATTACAGTTGTATCTATTTTGGCAACAAAGAAAATAGTTGTTGACAAACTAAACAAAACATAGCATATAACTACTTATGCAGGGACTTAACCAACGTTGATGTTAGTAATTTGAATTTTGTGATAAATATTGTACCTACTTATATGCTTAAATCTAACTTGTCTGCTCATACTTTTTGATACGTATTATAAGGGTACCGTTAGCGTCCAAAGTAGACATTAGACATTTTTTTTTAGATCTAGTTCCTGAAAACACCTGACCGTAGATCATTAACTAGTCTACGATTATACCTGAAAACATAAGGGTTGTCATGTAAATATGACGCTGACCATACCTGGAGGTATTCCCTTACATCTGACCGTATAAATTAACCAGTCTACAATTATTTCTGAAAACATAAGGGTTGTTATTAAATGTAAATATGACGTTGACCATACCTGGAGGTGTTCCCTTACACCTGACCGTACATCATCAACTAGTCTACGATTACAAGGCGTCGCGCGTCTAATAAATGACGCAATACATCATGACGCATTAGGGTGCGTTCTCATTAGTGAGAGCGCCGCGAATGTACTCGATACAAACCGTAATAAATAATCCCTAGCATTTTGCGTAAGTACTTTGTGTTATTACTATTGCCTATGTAAGAATGTTCATGGTAATCGTCAGACTTTGATGAAAATTCTTATTGGATGACAAGCGGTACTTTCCTATTTGTTTTGTTCTAGTTTTAACATCATTTTGTACTCAATCGAAAATAATACAAATACTGTTCCTACGAGAGGCTAGTGAAATGCAGTTTTAATTTTAGGCAACATATTTTGCATTTGTGACAACGCTTCCAAAAAAATTATCGACCACTGGTATAATTTCGTCGCACACGTAGCTCAGTTACGGGTACGAAGTTCTGTCACTTTAAAAATCACCTGTTTAATCAGCTTCGACAATATTTTGATACCTCCTTATCCATATACTTTAGTTAGAGTTGCGAGCATTTACTACAAAACATTTACGGCTGGTTACCACCGAGTTGATCGTAGTCCGTTCGTGATCGTGACAAACCTATCCAAATGTACGCTCACCCTTACATTGTGTTTCAGTGACGTTGCAGGTGCGAGATTTTAAGTTGCTTCGCGACAAGGCTGCGCGTGATTTACAATGCACCACGTCCTCCGCCGAGTTACCGCGAGATTAACGTTGCAGCATAAATCAAGTAATACAATATGCACTTACTTATTAAAGCTGGGAGACAAATCGGCCGCTTTCAGGATTGAGATGAAATGTTTACCCTCAAAATAGGTAGAAACACATAGGTACCTACATTTTACTTTAAATTAAGTTATTCAAGAATCAAGATGTGCAAGCAGTGCGTATCTAGTTGGTCAAACAAATATCACAACGCTACTCGGATCAACACTTCTCAGATTCAGTATGCTTAAGCTTATCATGCGTTTATATTATTACCTAATGTGCTCGCTGGCAACTGCGTAAAAAAATACTTGACATTACAGAAGTATAGCGCCCCTAGTACTATAGGTTACTCTCAAGAATTAAAATCATCATAGTTTTTATTAACGCACTCGCCAGCGATGACGTATATTAAAAACTTATGCTATTAATGTTGATCGAATTCAATGCGTAATCACCCTTATTTACAAAGAAGTTATAATAATATTGAGTTTAAAATTGTCAGGATTTTTGTTAAGCATTTGGCGCTTGTTTTATCCAAACCGGACGAAACCTCGACGCATTGTGCCCACGTAGAGTTAAAATTTTGTGTAACCTTGCATGCATTTTTGCAGTTTTAAACCACTGTCCGTGCTCAGGTCAAGTTTTTTCGGTTTTTTACTGCAACTGAAAAAGGTTTACGTCATATTTATGTGTATGTCAAAGCGGCCATTGTGCTTGAAACTTACGGCACAGTTTTTTGGTGATGTTGATATTTTAGTAAAGTCAAGTTTTATTATTTAAAGCTGAAAAAATTAGTTAACTACTAATGATACTTTTATTTCATTATTTTTAAACCATCATCAGTCAGACACGTTCTAAATACGGCGCTTGCATTGTGCATTGCTCCTGTCAAGTTGGTTTCCAAGGAACTTTAGTAGGAAAAAATAAAATGTGCTTCTACATTTTATTTAACATTAACTTTGTTTATTATTTTATTTTAATGCTGTATTAAATATTTGATAAGTACATCTAATTAATTAGAATTAAGAATATGTAGGACTTAAAAAGTTTTGAAAATAATACGCCATGCGTAGTAGAATTTGAAACGACAAACCGCAATGTTTTCTTTGTTATACGGTTTCTAAGCCTGCTTTACTGCTGACCGCTGGCGATGCTCTTTCGGGTGCCATCTATTATTGCGGACAGGTTTATTGTGGCCAATAAACCAGCATCGATATTTCAGTCCAAGCCACACGCTGTGCATGTACATTAAGTTATCTCACATTAAAGACAAATCATACTGGTAATAAATGTTTAAATTTTAATGAAAAAATTATTTATGCCCGTTTTTACGATCATTCCCTAATTTTTAAGTGACCCATATGAATATAAAATTCATATTATTTGTTATCATAGGGGTCACTTAAAAATTTGGGATTGATGATGAAAACGGGCATTAAACTATCATAAAATCTTAAAATAATAACTATTTTTCATTCGAAACAAATAGTATTTACCTAAATCAGGCGGCCATTTTATTGAAACAATTTACTTTGTAAATAGAACTGGCCGCTGTCCTCTAATTCAGAAAAACAAAAACCACGAAACAAAAGAAAAAAAACACGCACCGCAACGCAAAAAACAAAAGAATTCATAAAATGTCAGAAATGCGACGTCAGAATAAAAAAGTTTTCCACTAGCGCGGTGCGTATCGTAGATATCACGTAATATAGACGTGGTTTTATGATGTCGCACATAGTGTTTGTTTGGCTAATCGATAGGTAGAGCGCCCCCGTAGTACCGCACCATGATACAGTCAAAATTAAAAATGAGCAGTAACTCAACTTAGGGCCATATATTAACGGCATTTGTTATTTTTTATAAACTCTGTTAGTTTTCTTTTTCATATTTGCACAATCAAGCCTAAAATGGATTCTTTGATGAATTTTGGATCTTATAAATAAAAATAAATGTTGTCTCAAACAATTACTTTTGATGTGTAGGTAGGTATTGAAATGAGTAACCCGATATGAAGATTTTGGCATTATTAAGTTTTCAAGAGCATAAACAAAACTAACGTGCTGTCGTCAGAACTATGGAGCCAATCCATTTACAATAATATTAAGTTTCAATCCCTTAATCATTTTAAAATCTTAATAACATTATGTTTTAGTAGCCGCATGTTTAAGGAGTATATTATAAAATTGATCATTCTGATGCTTAAATTTGTCTTTCGGTACGTATTTGAAAAACTGAATCATTCCGTAGGGATATTGCGTGAAAGTATATTTTGAGTGCTTTGCATGCTTTCTTTACTTACTATAATCTATACTGTGGTCGCACCCAAGCGCGTTGATCCTAATCCAATATAGAATGGCACTCCCAGCCCTCGATCACTCTATTCTCGGACCGTATTATGTGTCTCGACGTCATAAGCTATACAGCCTCAGAAAAAGGGTACTTAACTAGTAATTAGTATTAAGTTTCTAGGCAAATGTGAGTAGATTAAATGCGATGTCCATTCATAACGACATTATTAACTGCTTTTAAAATATGACCTTAATTTCTAACGACCGGATTTAAGGGTTGTGGAAAGTGCCTGGATGCTGGCAGCACAGCACTGGTCGTTGGTCGTTGCGGAAGGCCTTTGTTTAGCAGTGGACGTCATTTTTGCCGAAGAAGGCATGTTTGTCGAAGCACATACTAATGGCTTCCATGCCATCCTTCGGAAAAGGGCAGCCTCTATGCTGGGCCGTGTGCGTGGGAGCTCCAACGACATTCTGCGCGTTGTAGCTGGTCGAGTAGACGGTTCATTTATCACGCAGTGGGTTCGGCTGCATGTGTAAAATTTAATAGGTTTTATTTTTATGAACTAGGCTGTTTTTTGGCTTTTAAATATTTTCTCCTTAATGTAGGTACTTAAGCATTTTTAATATCTGAAATAAATTATTATTTATTATTTGCCTGAAACGACGATGACGAAAATAAAACCTTAAAAGATTAGAGGCACTGCTATTTTCATTGTTTGATTTTTCGAGAAATCTCTCTCAATTTACGTTTTTCCTGATACGAGTTTCTACGTTCTACATATTTGTCTAATGATATCTACAGCAAAAGTTCACGCAACCACTAGCGGTATGATTTAGTTATTTAATTTTGTGGGTGCACCTAAACGGAAAACTAAAGCACTGAAATTCAGCCCTAGTATCTTGAAATGACCAGCACAGCGCCACGCATTACGCCTCGCCGCATCTTTAATCTTAAAACATATTTATAACCCATTACCTGCTTTCTGAAATTAAAGTAGCTAATAATAGCACAAATCCGTTTATCGTTTCCACACACCTCATAATTACGTTAATAAATGCTTTGTATTCATTATAATGTTGACGTTTAACGCTAATTAGAGCACTCAAATGTCTTCGTTAGTTCTCACTGTTGATCCCCAATAATCCATCCGTGGCAAATTTCGCGTCTACTTATAACAAAGTAAATAGTTACACTGTTATACTACTCGCAGTCGTTAATTGGGGTTTTCATAGAGCATTGCAGCGAACCAATCGAGTACTGATATCGAACATCTAATCGAAAACATCGATATTCAAATCGACTTAATTGTTTTGATTCAATATTATTAATACTGTCAACATTATTAGTTTTAGTATCATTATAATAAATCTGTACACCAATGATGCAAGCGGCGCAGGACCGGTCTTTGTGGAAATCCTTGGGGGAGGCCTTTGTCCAGCAGTGGACGTCTTTCGGCTGAAACGACGACACCAATGTTATCTTGCAATTATTTTTAAAATTAACTGTACCTAGATTTTCAAATGTAAAATGAACAAACGCGTATTCTCGAGCTTGTTATTTTAGTTCATGAATCTCGTTACAGTTTATAATGATGTTATCGCTGTTGCAATACAGAATGTAATTTCATTTAATGATTAATTTGATACTAATATGGAGTTTGACAGATATTTAACAACGATTGTTAAAGTTAAAGTGTACGATGGTGCAACTCAGCTTTATTTTTGTAAATTGCTAACACTGAAATTGACCATTTTCATTTTATGCGAGGCTGAAACACAGAAGTTATTTGAAACAAATAGAAGTTTTGAAGTTATTTGTAACATTTTACACTAGTAGTGAGCTAATTAAATTTTATCGATAATAAAGGAAACCATCCATCCCTACCAGCTCGAGACGACGAATAATGTTTACGTAACAACAAAACGGTCTGAATAGCAAGATGAGTAACAGCACTGTCTGTAATTAACATTATAATTATAGGCGGCTAATTGCCTCAGTGTTCGCCTTGAGTATCAAACGCGTGACGGCGTCAAGGGGCGCCTTGACAGAATAATATGACATTTAATTATGGCGATTACCGCCGCAAAAGGGGCGGCCATCCACCATTACGTTTTTGTTGCTAATTATTTTCAAAATCATGAATATGTCTCAAAGGGAATGGGGGAATAATAAAGTATTCAGACGTCGTTTCCAAGTGAAATAATAATAACATCAAAAGGATAAGCGTGCTGTCAAGTTTGGCCTTTAGCACCTGAAGGATTGCCGTTTCAAATTTGAATAATACATTCAAACGTAAGAAGTCACAATGTACATTGCACATTGAACATAGGTAAGAACTATGTTTCAAATTATTATGACTAGAATGAACTCTAATTTTATAAATAACAAAATTGTGTAGGTACCTATTTAATATTATACACGTTGTCATTTAAATCTTGGCATCCTTTTAAACTAAGACATATTACATTCCCTGAATATGAGACAAATCCCATGTAGTCTTAGTTTAAAAGGATACCAACGATTTAAATGTCATACTGTATACATTCCATACATCATAATCAGATCATTTAGTCGACTCTACTGCAAAAGGACAACCCTCTTTAATTTATCAGAGGCATGGAGGATTTGACTTACACTCCCCTTACCTAAATACCCCGTATTTATTTTCATAAGAATTTAAATGCAATGGCATATGCGTATTTAAATATCCTCAAG